CCCTGCCTGATTGCCTGTTTTAGCTCATAAAATTCATACAAATTACCCAGCCAGAATATAATTTACATTGCTGGAATTCTTACAATATGATGATCATTTTGAATATAAACATCATAGATTTTGCATTAGACAGACAAATTTTAGATGTAATGTTTATTCTGAGTAAATATGTTATTTTTTGTGCAAAATATATGACATTTGTATTCAAAATATTCCTGGTCTTACAAGGAATCCAGCAATGTCAATTATATTATCCTAACTTTAGTTTGATGTATTATTTATTACTAAAAAGGTAAATATTCTGGTTTTCCCACACATCTGGTGGGACGGTTGGTGGGGGGTGAGGGGGAGGGAGGGACCGACGGACCATCTGTTACAGCATGAAGAATATTTTATTTTTTTTATTAACTGAAGATATTTGTTTTAGCTCATAAAATTCATACAAATTACCCGGTCAGAATATAATTTACATTGCTGGAATTCTTATAATTTGATGATCATTTTGAATATAAACATCATAGATTTTGCATTAGACATACAAATTTTAGATGTAATGTTTACTCTTGAGTAAATATGTTATCTTTTGTGCAAAATATATGACATTTATATTCAAAATATTCCTGGTCTTACAAGGAATCCAGCAATGTCAATTATATTATCCTAACTTTAATCTGAGGTATTATTTAATACTAAATGTTAAAATTTAGTTTTTCACCCAACATCTCTTGAAGGGAGGATTGGTGGGGGGTGGGGGGGAGGGTTGGGACTGACCGTGCGGTTGGAAGAGGGGGGGAGGCAAGTTGGGGTACTTTGATCGACAGATAGTGTCGTGAAGAATATATTTTTTTTATATTAACTGAAGATGTTTGTTTTAGCTCATAAATTCATACAAATTACCCGGCCAGAATATAATTTACATTGCTGGAATTCTTACAATTTGGTGATCATTTTGAATATAAACATCATAGATTTTGCATTAGACATACAAATTTTAGATATAATGTTTACTCTGAGTAAATATGTTATTTTTTGTGCAAAATATATGACATCTGTATTCAAAATATTCCTGGTCCTACAAGGAATCCAGCTATGTCAATTGAATTATCCTAACTTTAGTGTGAGGTATTATTTATTAAAATTTAGTGGTTTTCCCCCAAAAATTTCTCAGAGAGGGAAGAGCCAGCAGTGTTGTGTGAGAAGAGGGGGAGGGAGTTGAGTCCATTATTTGAATGGACATTAACTTGGCGACTGTATTTCTCTATTTCTCTTAAGTATTAATTGTGTGCATGTACCATCATAAAATTAAGATGTTATTTTACTAGAACATAGGTATTGTGTCGGAAAAAGTAGAGTTTGGGGATGGGCCAGTTTCTATTGGAATTAATCCCATATGTTCTGTTGTTCATAGCGTGGTTTTCACTTAACACGGTACCCTCTGGGTTTTATTGACGCGTTAAGTGGGGGTACAACTGTGTGTATATATATATATATATATATATATATATATATATATATATATATATATATATATATATATATATATATATATATATATATATATATATATATATATATATATATATATATATATATATATATATATATATATATATATATATATATATATATATATATATATATATATATATATATATATATATATATATATTCATGTAAATCACAATAACGTGGATAAGATAAATCTTGATAAATCACAGAAAATGGAAACAGCAGTACCTTAGCTTTACGTCTTTATTCAAGACATCTTCAGGGCAACTGGATTACATGGACAGAGGCTTAAATATACAGGGTGACCTTAAAAACATGAGGGGTCAGGTCATAATGATGACATCCACTAATCCCCACACCAACACACAGGTAGAGGAGCTTAAGAAAGAAGTGGTGGCGTGACTAGCCAGGTCAGGTCAGAAAAAAGGGACCCACAAAATAACTATCATAAATCTAGATCAAGGTTTTCCAACATTTTTAACCTTGGGCCACTGACAAATAAATTTATGTCACATATCAGTTTGAACTGACCATCACTAAGGTTTATTGATTTTAATTCCTTAATCAAAACTAGCTTCAACCAGAAGTCTTTCTGTGACACAAGATGATTTGAATACTTCTAGCTTTTCCCCAAGCAATGGGGTGATTATTATTCTAACATGAGCAAACAAGGCACTGCTTTCAGATGCAGTTCTGATATTATACTTATGTTGTTTGATTCTGAGCTGCAGTGTTTTCCTGTCTGACCTACATAATTACAATTACATTTGCTACTTGGAATACAATAAACACTTCCATTTACATTCAAACTTGGGCTATTCCTTATTAACATATTGGTAATGGTTTGAGTCATACTTGAAAACAACATCAATATTTAGAAGCGAGGACCGAACTAAGGACAAATTCATTACGATAGGGCAGAGTCAAAATATTCTTAAGTGTAGGAACTTGTCTGGTTTGAGAGGAATGAAAGGATTTTAGCCCTTTAAAACAACGATCAACAAACACAGAAGGGTTGCCGAGTTTCTGTGCAATAAACGAATATGTTTCAATTCATCGTCAATAAATTCAGAGTCACAAATCTTGAACATCTTAAGAACATAGCAGAAAAACTGACGTTTTGGTAGACTCAAGGTGATTCGATAAAAAGTAGATGAAACTGTCTACCTGTGTGGGCTTTTATATACCTTAAATTTATAGTTTTGGCCATTTCTCATGATAAGCATATCAAGAAATGGAAGGGATTAATTTATTTCTCTTTCAATTTTGAATGTGATACTAGGGACAATATCATTAAGCTTGTCTAAAAATTCAATGGGTCACTGTTTCTAGGCCAAAAGACAAAAACATCATCTACATATATATATATATATATATATATATATATATATATATATATATATATATATATATATATATATATATATATATATATATATATATATATATCTCTCTCTCTCTCTCTCTCTCTCTCTCTCTCTCTCTCTCTCTCTCTCTCTCTCTCTCTCTCTCTCTCTCTCTCTCTCTCTCTCTCTCTCTCTCTCTCTCTCTCTCTCTCTCTCTCTCTCTCTCTCTCTCTCTCTCTCTCTCTCTCTCTCTCTCTCTCTCTCTCTCTCTCTCTCTCTCTCTCTCTCTCTCTCTCTCTCTCTCTCTCTCTCTCTCTCTCTCTCTCTCTCTCTCTCTCTCTCTCTCTCTCTCTCTCTCTCTCTCTCTCTCTCTCTCTCTCTCTCTCTCTCTCTCTCTCTCTCTCTCTCTCTCTCTCTCTCTCTCTCTCTCTCTCTCTCTCTCTCTCTCTCTCTCTCTCCTCTCTCTCTCCTCTCTCTCTCTCTCTCTCTCTCTCTCTCTCTCTCTCTCTCTCTCTCTCTCTCTCTCTCTCTCTCTCTCTCTCTCTCTCTCTCTCTCTCTCTCTCTCTCTCTCTCTCTCTCTCTCTCTCTCTCTCTCTCTCTCTCTCTCTCTCTCTCTCTCTCTCTCTCTCTCTCTCTCTCTCTCTCTCTCTCTCTCTCTCTCTCTCTCTCTCTCTCTCTCTCTCTCTCTCTCTCTCTCTCTCTCTCTCTCTCTCTCTCTCTCTCTCTCTCTCTCTCTCTCTCTCTCTCTCTCTCTCTCTCTCTCTCTCTCTCTCTCTCTCTCTCTCTCTCTCTCTCTCTCTCTCTCTCTCTCTCTCTCTCTCTCTCTCTCTCTCTCTCTCTCTCTCTCTCTCTCTCTCTCTCTCTCTCTCTCTCTCTCTCTCTCTCTCTCTCTCTCTCTCTCTCTCTCTCTCTCTCTCTCTCTCTCTCTCTCTCTCTCTCTCTCTCTCTCTCTCTCTCTCTCTCTCTCTCTCTCTCTCTCTCTCTCTCTCTCTCTCTCTCTCTCTCTCTCTTATAAAAAGGGTACGCTCAATACTGTAGTCCACAAAACATGTAGCTATGCTTTGTTTATTTGAGTCCCTCCTTGTCTGAGGAGTCCTATTTCTCATTGCCTCAGGATGCCCGAGTCCTCCATTTTCTCTCAATCTTAGAGTGCACCCGAGACTTTGTTATTCCTCAGTAATGCCACAGAATTTGAAATTGCAACTGGGGTTGCAATTGTTGAGGCAACTTAGATATGTCTGATTACAGCAAATGTGTTATTGTCAATTTGTAGGTGAAAGATTTTATCCTCAATAGATGTAGGTGAAGCAAGGGGGTAACAATACACCTGGAGGCAACTCGTGATGAATTGGAAGCCTGGAAAATGCGCTATGACAGCAGGTGTGCAGATTTGATGGGCGTGATACGAAAATTGCAATAACCAAGGGATGACTGTGGGAGAAATTTCAGGACTGTGGTGTCTAAAAGTTCACGATGCCGTATCTCTGCTATCACGTAACTGATGAGGTGTTTTAGTATCGGCCTCAACATCCCCAGCCAATCCAGCAGTTAGTCAGCAATGTACAGACTCTAGTTAGGGAAGTGAGGCTATTGGAGTACAGTGCAGAGTATTTCAGACATAAAGGTGTGAGTGGATGGAAAGGAACATTATAATTGCATCAGGAGGCCATCCACACAGAGGCAGAACAGTTCCTCACAACTGTACAATAAGTCAGTACAGCATGAGGATTAGTGAACATCTTCAGGAGAACATTGTAAGGAAGATTAAGGTAAATTGTCCTTCTCCAAGTCTTAAGTTACAAATATGAAAAATCAAGTTGGTGTTCTAGGAAACAGTGAGAATAAAAAGAAGGTTCACACAAGTGAATCTTTCTCCTGACAATACCAGTTAAGTGATGCACTGTGTTATGTATTGTTTACTTACAGTATGATGAGTGTTGCAATGTTTCTACCTAAACAACTACCTTGTGACTCTTGTGCTTGTGTACACTGCTGATAAAGTTTCAATATATAAAAATGTGACAAGTGTTTGCCTGCTGTGCTTGTACTGGTGAGACAAGTTCACTTGTGGTAAATATTTCTCACACAACAGTTAGCTCAAGAACCACATATGTGCAGAATTATTAATACAAATTTAGGCTGTGAAGAGTGGAGAACTTTTTATACAATACAAAAGTTACCCAAACGTGTGACACTGAAGGAAATGTTTTCTTGTATGGAGTGTTGTAAAGTGTGTAAAAGATGGCCCAGTTTATGAATGAAATAGCTGGACATAGCGGCCAAAATAATTATGAGTGTGTACAGTGTGGTGAATTATTTTACAGTAGTGATTCATTGAAGATGCATAGCTGCATGGCTGAACACATTGATGAGATAAATATTAACTGTGAAGAGCTTGACGAAAGCTTTGACAGTAACTATGATGTGACACAACATGTGACTGTTGATGAGAAAGATATTAAGTGTGAAGAGCTTGATGAAAGCTTTGACAGTAACTATGATGTGACACAACATGTGACTGTTGATGAGAAAGATATTAAGTGTGAAGAGCTTGATGAAAGCTTTGACAGTAACTATGATGTGACACAACATGTGACTGCTGATGAGATTAATATTAAGTGTCTCAAAAGTGTTAAAAGTTATGACAAAAAAGAACAACAAAAGCAGCATATGGCTGTACAGTCTGGTGATGAGGAGGATTTTAAGTGTGAAGAGTGTGGTAAAATTTATTTCAGTAAAGGCTATCTGAAGCAGCATATGATTGTACACTCTGGTGAGAATAAGTTTAAGTGTGAAGAGTGTGGTAAAATTTATTCCAGTAAGGGCTATCTGAAGCAACATATGATTGTACACTCTAGTGAGAAAGATTTTAAGTGTGAAGAGTGTGATAAATGTTTTTCCAGAAACAGTGATCTGAAGCAGCATGTGGTTGTACACACTCGTGAGAAGATTCGTGAGAAGAATTTTAAGTGTGAAGAGTGTGGTAAATGTTATTCCAGTAAGGGCATTCTGATGTATCATATGGTTGTACACACTGGTGAGAAGGATTTTAAGTGTGAAGAGTGTGGTAAATGTTATTTTAGAAAGAGCACTCTGAAGCGTCATATGGCTGTACACACTGGTGAGAAGGATTTTAAGTGTGAAGAGTGTGGTGAATGTTATTCCAGAAAGAGCACTCTGAAGCGTCATTTGGCTGTACACACCGGTGAGAAGGATTTTATGTGTGAAGAGTGTGGTAAATGTTATTCAGAAAGAGTGATCTAAAGGAGCATATGGCTGTACACTCGATGAGAAAAGAATAATTTTAAATTTGAAAATTAATGTGTTAAATGTTATTCCAGAAAGAAACATCTGAACCGGCATATAGCTTTACACTCTGGTGAGAAAAATTTTTAAGTGTGAAGAGTGTGGTAAATGTTATTCCAGAAACAGCGGGCTGAAGCGTCATATGGCTGTACACACTGGTGAGAAGAATCTTACATGGAAGTTGTAGGGAAAGATCTTACAGAAAAATGATCTACAGAACAATATGGTCTTGCATGTTGTTAACATTTATTTCAAGTGTAAATAATGGATTATTTATTTCCAAAGAAGACCAACTGGAAATAATCATATGATGGCTGTGTTGGGAATCCTTGGTGAATTGACTTAATGTTTACCATTGTATTGTATACCTGCACTGTACATAACAGGCTGAATCTTTGAAACCTTTGTGATAATTACTGAATAAATTATAAATGTGTCTGTCTGTCTGTCTGTCCAACTAAGTAATAACACTGGCAAGTGCAATCCACAGCCACATTGGTCTTCATTGCAATGTTTATATGATTTTATTCCTTTATCCTTAGATGGCAGTAGAGGTCTTAATATAATTAGATTGATGACAAATGAAGTCCAACATAAGTAAAGATTCATATATATATA